TTTTTTTGGGTTTTTTTTTTTTTTTTGTTTTTTGTTTTTTGGTTTTTTTTTTTTTCCCGGTAAAAGTGGTGGGATAATACCTCAGCAGGGATTTGTTTTGCAGAAATTCGTACTCACCCTGATGCAGCTCAGGGTATGGTATCTACTTAGTCCAATCTCGGGCCCTGTGCGGACAACTGAGTGCTCGCCCACAGCAATGAGTGGTACAGGATATATTGCTGAAATCATGCTGATAAACAAGGCTAATTCATGTAACACACGTGTACTAGAAAATGCTGGGGCCTGTTCATTTAAATGTGGCATTATTAATGTCATTCATTCCTGACGTCGTTTGATTTGCCATGGCTAATTATGCTTATGATATTAATTTCTTATCTTACCAGCAACGATTTGCATATATAGTTATCTCTGAACTTACTGAAATGAATTCTCTCTCTTCAAAATCAATTACAGTAATGACTATTTGTGCCAGTAATTTCCTATGTAGCATTGAGAATGGTGTRCTTTTGGAAATGAAAGATTGGAATGAAAATAATGCCACTTTTAATACTTCTTTTCAGCTCTGAAAAGCTCTGGCTCACCACACCAGCTTTAAAAGGAGCCTTACAAATGAGACAGATCAGACTCTACTTTTTAAGAGGGCTTATAAACTTCTGTGAATTATTCTCTTTAAGGCAGATAATTATTTCCCTTATCTACTAGATGTACGTGATAAATTAAAAAGCTTGTCTTAAATGATGCTCAGTTTTAGGATAAAATTAATTTGTAGTTTCTCCAAGTATGGAAACCCAGCTGCATCTTATTCTGGCAATACATTCGTTGTTCCTGAGTGAATCTGAAGCTTGCTCCAGGCTCAGTAATATTAGTGCCAAAGCTCAGAGGTGAGCTCACCAGTTATCTCTTTTTTGGGACCTGCCTTATATTTGTAGCTCCCAACTGTGTGATGAGAAAAGAGATGACAAAAAACAGGCTCAGAGATGATAACAGCCTTCTTAGGTAGGTATTTTTATATACTTGCACTTTGAGCAGGTACGAGTCTATCAAAAATGGCATCAAAATGCAGCATTTGAGGTCTGAGACCTCCACCTGCTTCCTCCCATCTTGCTGTGCGCAGTGAGGGTTGTGCGTGGCTGCATTTTGCCTTGTGATACCAAAGAGATCTGTGGTGAGCTGGTGACAGAGCTGAGGCAGATGTCCCCTTGGCCCTGTGATTGAATTAACATTGCAAATGCAACGAGAATGAGCTGGGTGCATTTTCTGTTTCAGGCGCCAGCATACAACCGGCACAATCTACCGACTAACACGTGTGAGAAACAGGCGCAGGAAATCCTCATCCGTCGGGAGCACAGCCTGAGGCAAAGTTGCAGRAAAGGAAACAGCTTGCCTTGGGGTAGACCGGTACCTGTTATCTACCTATTATTTATGTAAAAGTGCCTCTCCTTCTCTGTAAATATGGAAAGACACGCATTTTTATGAGCTCTTTGCTATAATTAAAGTGGGTAAATTTCCCAGTGTGCTCATTCAGCACCYAAGGAGAAAGAGCTTCACTTCGCATGTGAACAGTAAGGTTTTAATGTCTTATCTTTATGCATTGATCAGAAATCAGCTGCTCTGGCTGCATGCAGTAAAATAATGTAWTTTGCATTGATTTTGCATGTACAAAGTATAGTGTAATCAAAAAAGGCCTGATGCAAAGCCTCTGGCACCTTGACAGTTTGAACTGTCAATCAGTAAGAGATTTGTCTGGCCAAAGGTAGACATTGAACAGCATAGACATTTATAGCTGAGACAATCACAGTTAAGCAAGAGAAATAAGTTCTTGCTGGATAGATTAGTTGTTTTGACATTTTTCACCTGAAATAAGAAAGGTGACTCTTTGAAGAACATATTTTTTCTCTGCTGACTGCAAAATATCCTAAGGCTATTATATCAGATGGACATTCTCACTGGAGCTGGTGTTGAGTTCAACCATCCTAGRCAAACATTRATCTTATTCATACCTCTCAAAATTYGGCTCTAAAGGCGCAGTGTATTACCATTCCTCTTTGGGGGATCACCAAAGTTTCACCAAATAAGTGCCAAGTGAGGCAATCATGGGCACTAAACACATTTCTGTCTCCTRCACAGGTTAACACCACGGAAGTACGCTACCTGTCCTTGCCTCAGGGTCCACGCCAACCCCCCAGACGAAAAGCCAGGCATGTTACTTTTACAGGTAATGGTAGTGTTACTCTGTATCCTACTGCAGTAGTGAAGGAAACTTGGCCAGTTGTTCGGTGGATTTAGCAGTACATGAATACTCCCATGGAAGTCCACGGCCTCTTTAAAAGAGCTACGCCCTTCTCTCCTTTCTGTTTTATCTATCTTGTTTATATGGTCATGACTGCAGAAGTTTCTGTTTTGTTCCAGCACCTCCTAGTTTGATCTTTTCCCCTCTTGCACAAATATTCCTGTGATCTCTGCAGTTCCACCTGGCCAAGCCCAGTTGTTAGTTACAGGTCACTGGCAAACTTGATTTTTGATAGACTGGAATCTTCTCCATTGTCACATTTTTGTTTTCTGCCGTGGGTTTCAAAATRCTTTTAAACCATTGTGCTAAGTATATTGGTGAAATCCCAGGAAAATTAAAGTTACATGAAAGAACATTCCTGCCCTGTGAAGGCACTGGGCACGTCTGGTCTGTGAGACACCAAATGGTGGCTGCATGTGCTTATTTGCTGGATTTTAGAGTAGAGACAAGGCAGATAAGATCTTTAAAATATCATCTTTGAGATGAAAAAAAAATTAGAGCTGTTGTTAGATCTCGACTGCTCCCTTATTCTACAGTAATTATTTTAAATGCTTCAGTTCCAGGGTATTGTATTGTATTGAATACCCTTTATCTGTCCTTGCCAATACCATGGCTTCTCTCTTCTGCAAAATATGAATTTTCTGTTTTTCTTTAGATCAGCATAGAAGTGGCTCTGATGCTGCACTCCCATTAACATCCAGATCCCAGCCCCGCCTGCGGCCACTGGAAGCAAAACACCGCCAAGAACTGATTCCAATGGCAAGCTTGGAKAGACGAGCAGCTCCACCCAATCTGTCAGGTCGAAGAGGAAATTCGATCAGCCGTCCCCGTTTCACCAGAGTAGACAATCTAGCCCCAATGYCAAAGTCTGGGTTCACTGTCAGAGAAGTAGAGGAGTATGAGTCAGAAGAAGAGACAGAAACAATGGCACCAGCCAGGCCATTAGTTATATGAGGAGCAGAGAAGATCAGCGTTTGCATCTCCAGGGMCCCTGGTGCACTGCTACAAAAGAAATAACAAAGCCTTTGTATGAACCAAACTATGATTTTCCTCTGGGGACTGGTGTACTTGTCCTCGTATCACTTTCAAGAGCTGTATTAAGGTACTTAGTAGCTCAGAGAAGACTCAAATTYTTATGTGTTTATATCAAGCTTTATTTCCAACAAAACACTGCAGGAAAGAGAAGATGGTATTTGTAGGGGTTTGGACATGGTTTTAAACAGTACAGAARTAGCTGGGTGCATGCAATGTTATGGGTGAAAGCTGACATTGCCTTTGTTCCATACTATGGTCTACATCCAGAGGAAAGAAATATATAAAGGCATCCTTGACATGTGGATGCACAGATTGATTACCTCATCTGACACAGAACTTTTCACCTTGGAGTAGCTGCAATTCCAGGAAAGAGTTAAAAMCAGAAAGTCACTTTTTAGGGCATGCAAATGTCACTGAAGAAATCTAAGCAAGACCTTAAGTCAACAGGATTTTCAGTGGAAATTTTCAGCACTTGGGAACCTCTCTGTAGCTCAGGTTTTGGCTCTGCAATAGTGCCTAATGTCTGCKGCTGTGATGGTCCATGACTCCTACTACTTAAAGCAATTTCAACATGCAGGCTCCTATCACTCACCTACCATTGTTTTAAATAAAGGAGATATTTTCATTTGTTCAAATCCAGAGCAGTTTTCAGGCTGAGGGGCTGTCAGGACTTTATTTGTAAGCACAGGATGGCAAGAACATACCCAATATTCTTGTGATTCATCAAGTTGGAGGCCTCATTGTATAGTATCTAACTCYTCTATTCCCCATTCCCACCTCATGTGTCCAAATGTGTGGACTGTTCTTCACACTACAACTGGACCAGCAATGCAGACAGGAAGCAAAAAACTGGGATTAAAGGTAATGGGAGCCTAACCCTGCTGGCTAGCAAGAAAGAGGGGCCTTTTTCTCCCAGCTTTTTGTAGTGTGTCTGCCTATATGTTGTACAGAGAAGCTTTTCCATGAAAGAAGCAGAAATAAGCAGAGGGATGTGCACCACAGCACTTGACCTCCCAACSTTTCTGTGGAGCTCCCTTCCAAGTGGCTCTGTGTGCCCACGCTCCAGTCTCAATGGTGAGTCTCCCTGAGCAGGAGGAGAAACAAAAGTGTGTTCTTGAGTAACTTTAGCTAAGGTCTAACTCCCAGATACCTAGATCCTCTGATGAAGTTCTTTTCTGCAGAATGAAAGCATCATTGACAGTGTATTCTCTGTTTTGGAACTGTAGTTGGGCTGATTTTATCCAAAGGGTTGAATTGGGTTCAAAAGTCCATAAACCCACCCTGACATCCACAATAAAATCAAATCTATGGTTATGAAGTGCACCAAATTCAGTCATGTTTTGGTCAGATTTCCTCCAGTCCCCTCCACTCTGACCTTGCTTAGCTGTCCAGCTCAAGCTCTGTAAATGCTGCTCTAAGAGTCAGACTCGAGTTAGAGATAGCAGTTCTACCTGTATGGTTTTCATTTTTATATTGCTGTTAAGCACTTGTATGTCCTCATCCATAAAAGAACTTAAAAGTCTAAGTTATKACTTCATCTTTCTTACAAAGGCTTTCTAGTTTAAGACAGGTAGAATCTAAACTAACAAATTTGAAAAGCACTACCAGAGGGAAAAAACCCTACAAGCCCTTTTCCCTGTTTTCTCATGTTTGCAACTTWTATGCTTAGGTTATAATGAATAATCTATACTGAAACTGTCCAAAGCTTTATGAAACTTGARTTCTGTTTGTGTTTCCTTATTGTGCCAGAGAAATTATATGACTTCCTTTTATGAAAACAGTGGTACATTATTAAAACAGGATAGGATTTTGCTTCTGCTCCGACACTGAGTTCGCGATGAAATACAGTTCTGTTCCTGAAAATCCACAAATAAACCCCGCTCCACCAAAGGAGGAAGTGCTCCACAGCGTTTTTAAACAAAAGCCTTGTGCCAGATCTCAGTCCTACAGAAAGTTATATTGACATATCATAAATCTAAATTAAAACATGATATTAAGGGGAAGAGTTAGCATACAAAATCAGCTCTTAAAATGCACCGTGAGCCACACAGTTGCCACATGGTATTTAATTGAGGGCAAAATTAATGCCCGCATGATGTGGTCCTTAGGCCACAGAGGTGTAGGCATGGAGTAGCGTGACAGAGGTACGAAACCTGCTTCTGCATCACTGAGTCGTGGGGGAGTGGGATTTCCAAAACTGACTGGTGGGTGATAAGAGCTGCTGGCAATCCTTGGGGACAGAAAGTGGAACGCTGAAAGGAAGGTGAAGAAAGGATAGTGTCTCATTTTCCAAAGGAGGCTCACAAGGGGCAGGTTTAACAGGGGAATTACTGTGAGCTGCAAATTCAGCATTTCATCTGTAAGAAGATTTAATCAATGAATTGTCTGGGGGAACTGGACAGAGACAAGCTCTGTGAGATGAGAAGGATTAATGGGATGTCTGGAGTGGCATGGAAAGGGACTAGGCATTCATCATGGGAAAGAGGAGTCCGTGTAGCTTGGTCAGTGTGTGTTTGACAGACATGCTTAAAATTGACTTCTGAAGTCCTTAGTCATTGTAGAAATCRTAGAGGATTACATAATTACCCATCAAAAGTAGGGAGAATTCAGTTTTTAATGATGGGTTTATATTAGAACTAGAGAAAAATACTAAAACACTAAGAGAATTAGTGCACAGATTGAGTCAAATCTCCCTCCTTTTCTTCATTCCTAGAATTTTCATTTATAAAATCAGTGAGCCAGAACTCCAGAGAGTGTAAAGCTGTAGGGCAACTAGAACTTAATAGAATCCTCTCACATTTTGCAGCCTGGCCCCTAAACTTGTGAAGTCTATTTTTAGCTTTCTTTCCTAGCAATTAGTAAATAGGACTGGAAGAAAATTTTCTTCTGTCCCATTAGTTGCTGTTAATGGCTTTGCTGGCCATCAGCCAAGAAGCAATGCTGCAGATGCCTATGTGTAAAATATGTTCCCAAATATAATGTTGCACTTTTTTTTTTCACAGTTATTTCATACTTGTGGGCAAAAAAGTTCTCCTGGCAGAAGCACATTGCTTATGTTTTAAATAGCAATAACTACAGCAATATCTTATTACAAGTAACTTAATCCATGTCTATAGACTTTCAGGCCTCACCATAAAGAAAATTGAAGTGGTTTAGGGCATGAATTTAAATCCACTGTGTGTGGGCATTCATAAACTCTTTAACCTGGGTCACGTCCAGGAACCTTGTGCTGATAATTTACAAAGGTAAATTAATTCAAGACCTCTTTTTTTTNTTTTTTTTTTTTTTTTTTTTTTTAGGCTGGTACAGTGCTATTTACTCAGGAATTTAAATTCCACACTGATTTAAGGTGAACTGGCACAGGAGACTCATGCCCAGAATGTGAAGAATACTTTTTCAAATCAAGAGAGGAAAAAGGACCTCAGAAAATTAAGACTATTYCCTTGGGCAGGAGGATAGTTCAGGACAAGTGAGTTTCAGGAAGGAATAATAATGCATAGCCTTTATCTTTCACAGTAGAGAAAATAAGAGATACACCATGTTGTGGTTTAACCCCAGCCTGCAACTCAGCTSCATGCAGCACTCATTCACTCCCCCCAGTGGGATGGGGGAGAGAACTGGAAGAAAAACATTGTGGGTTGAGATAGAGATAGCTTGGTAAGCAAAGCAAAAGCCACAAACACAAGCAAAGCAAAACAAGGAATTAATTCATCACTTCCTATGGGCAGACAGGGGTTCAAACATGCCCAGGAAAGCCTGGCTCTCTCATGCATAACAGTGACTTGTGAAGAAAACCCCATCACTCYGAATGTTCCCCCGCTTCCTTCCTATTTCCCCAGCTTTATTTGCTGAGTGTGAGACCATAAGGTGTGGGATACCCCTTTGGTCAGTTGGTCAGTTGTCCTGTCTTGTGCACCCCCAGCCTGTTCCCTGGTGGGCTGAGGTGAGGAGAAAAAAAGGTTTTGACTCTGTGTAAGCACTGCTCAGCAGCAGCTAAAATACTTCTCCGTTATCAACATTGCCACCAGCACAAAATACAACCCCATATTATTATTATTATTATTATTACTATGAACAAAATGAACTCTATCCCACCCTGAACCAGATCACACCTGAACAGAACTTGCTAATCAATGAGAAAATTAGGACAATATTAACAACAGTCATAATGAGAAAATATTTTAGTAGTAAAAGCARTAATGGTCAAACAGAATATTGCAGAAAAAGGGAGGATTCATCTAGGTGAGCAGTATGTTGTGAGCASCTGGCAATACTTTCATATTTATTGCACAGTGTAATTAACTGTTAGATCCTGTTGCTCTTGSTGCTACAGCAGCAAGGAAGAGGAATCTCTTCCTTGGAGAGCTTCGGAAGAAGGATGCAGCAACAAGGGGAATGCCAGCAATGAGGACRTGATAGCAGTTGGTGCAGAGAGCATCCAAGCTGTGACCTCCAGAAATACCAGGGTGCCCTGGAAGCAGGCATGGTCTCCCTTCCAGGGACAGCGGTGCCCATCCCTGCACAGTCAGGGCTGCTGCCATCTGTACAGCCCCATGGCTCAAAATTCCAGTGAATGGAGCAGGCATGTGTCTGTCACAGACAGAAAGAAGAAGCTGCAACAGATGGAAAAGAGCAAATGTCCCAGCGGGAGTTGTGTGTGGAGCGATTTKCTGCTGTGTGAGTGCACCAAGGAAGTACACCAGCTTAAACAACTAAAGTTCAGATCTGTTCAGAGCAGCAAAGGAAAGTTACAGGAAATTCATAAAATTAGGTCAGAGTTTCAGGCTGGAGAGGCTGATAGAGATTGTGTTTAGTGTGAGACAGAAAAAAAAAATCATGTTTACGAGACAGGTAGTCAGAGAAAGAGGACCAGTGATATKTACCTGTGAAATCATCAAATTGTGGTTGAAAATCACAACTTAGAAGATGAAAAAAATTGTGAAAATTTCCCTATCTTCTTGCTGGTGTGTCGTTGCGAGAACAGACACTTTTAAGGTGTTTTTCTGCAACCATTCGATCCCAAAAACTCACATTTATTGTCATATATGAGTGGAAACTACTATTTTAAAGCCTGTGGGAGACTGGAAAATAGCAACAAATACTTTCAAGCTTCCTTTCTTCATATGTACTTTATTTAAAATTTTCTATTTACATATATGGATAAAACACAAGCACTGAGAGTGGAAAAACAGATTACCTTATCTTTATATTTTGTTTGCTTTTTAGGTAGGACAATTACATTTATTGTTTTGCCAAACTCGCTATACYTGAGAACCTTAAAACAAGAGGTGTTAGTTATATGAGTAATATTCCAAACCAGTTGAAAGGCTGGAATTCTATTGAGCTAAGTTGCCTAGTTAATTTCCTTTTGAGAATCTATCTCAGTGTTAATCACAAGTGAAACTCCTTTTTCTTTCCTTCTTCAGTTTCATAGGTGTTAAATTTCAAAAGTTGGTATTGGTTCTTGTTTATTTCTAGTTCACCCATCCTCATGGACAGATTTTGCTACATTTCAATCATAAGAAATGAGACATGGACTGACAAAAACAATGCCAGGTTCTGATTTTCAGATTTTTCTTTGTCAGGGCAGATTGYAGCCACACCAACAGTGAACAGCTGGTCAGGAGTAGGCCCCAAACCTGAACATCATTCTTTACTTATTTTCTGCTGCCTTGCAGGAGAAAAGGAAAAAAATAGTATCTTTCAAGAATAGCCRTAGTGAGCTGTGGGCAGAGGGATTGCTCATCTGCAGCATCCCTTTTACATGTGCAGACACAGATGGTTAGACAACTGCTCAGTGCTTTCTCATCAGTAACCTACTCTGATAAACACAAAATTTTCATAAAGGATGCTTGAAGTTAAACTGCTGGTGCCTGTGCCAAGTAYAAGAGTCATTATTTGGTACTAAGCCTAGCACTGTTTGCTCCTTGCTGAAATGTATTATCAGTCATGATAAGGGGTGAAAATAATGAGTTATGCACAGATGCCAAAATAAAAGTGTTCTTACTTTTTCGAGGGTATCTTAGAATAAACCCTATAACCCTTTAGATATYTATAATCATGACTTTACTTATGGGTAAATTTCCCATCACAGAAGCTTGCACTGGGTGAGAAAACTATATAAATAAAATTCTGCTACCCMAAAATATTCAGCTTCAATATTACAYGATGATGAATATTGATAATATTTGCAGTGGTGCTCAGTGTCCTCCAGGYTCTGTGTGAAGACAAGGCACAGACAGTTCAGTGCCAGGGCATCCTGAGATTTGTTCCAGTGTTAAAATCCTGTGTGTGAGGTGGAGAAACTTGCACAAAGAAAGTGAGCTGTGTGTACACATAACACAAAAATGGTACCAGGAACAAGAGACACTGATTCCTTGACCCCAAATCTACCTGTACTTCCCTTAGGCTTTCAGGTGACTGAAACCTACAGAAAGGAACAAAAGAACAGGCTGAAACTTAATTCATCTTTCACCACAAAAACCAAACAATTCACAGAGAAATTGTTCGTTCAGTGCTTCAAGCCAGACATTAGGATTTGCTGCTTATAAACATCCAACGTCCTAAAACATGTAATTTTGCCATACTTAAGATACATGTACAAAATATAGGTAATGTGAAAAAATACATTTTTTCACTTGTTATTCCCTTGTACATTCACTGTGGTTAATTTAAAAAAAAAATTACATATGTTCTGCATGTTTTTTTCTTAGTTCCAAAAGCTGRTGACATTGAAGGAAGTGAACACACTGTGGCAAACACACATTT